CCTTTAGTGAACCGACACTCTCGGCAATTTTAACTATTGTAATTATTTTAATTAACTGGAACGTGGCTATTTTTAACAAAGTGAAGTTTTGTGTGTTGGTGATTTCTTTTTCTACTATAAATGCCTCTGATGATGGCTCCGTGGTGAGCCGAAACATGTAAGGCAGGTGGTGACGAGGTGGAAAACTTATAAAAGTGTCACATTTGACGGAAGGAACTTGATTGTTAATTTGTTAGTGTGACGGACCAGAATGAAAGACCTTAAACCGTCTGTAGTCACTATCATGTGACAATGTTCAGGGCATAGGAACAACATTACCTTTGAGGGCAGATCTGTTTTCATTGGCTCCACGACATCCTGGGACAGTACATTGAGGAAGCCATGGCCACAATTCTTTCCAAATCCTTTTCCAGTTCATCATTCATGTGTCATCGTACCATTTGATGCTACAGAGCCATTGTACTGACAGTGCTGTAAAACAGACCACAAAAGAAGTCATGAGTAGATTGGAAGGGAGTGCATGTGAGGTGTGTGAAGATATGCCTACTGCACACTTGCCACCCTCCAAAGATCCACTTCAATATTGCTGTCCTGCCTATGCACAGATCTCCCAAATGGTCTCTTATGTTAGTTTTCACAATTACAATTTTTCACTCATGTCTCACCTGTCATGCATTCTGTGTGCCCTCCCCTAATAATATTTGTCATTTGAAATAATGTGACCTACATTCTGAGTTCCAGCTTATTCTAAAGAATCTGCCCACATCTGAATGTAACATTTCATAATTTGGTAGTACAGTATATGCCCAAAAATACAGTACTGAAATGAAAAGACGTCCTGTTGATACCACTCTCTATTCATGTGAAGGCACCTTGCATGACAGAACCTTCTCAGATTTTGAAGAAATTGTCCGATCACTGTGTCCCTGTAGCGTTTTTGGGTGATGGTAAGAGCATTGCCTTCCTCATTCTCAATGAAATAGGGGCCTAATATACCGTGTGCTGAGATGGCACACCATATCGTCACACGTGTACTGTGTAGCGGTTTCTGGATGATAACATCTGGCCGCTCAAAGCCAAGGAAGCGAGTTGTCTGGCGATCACTTCCATATGAGCAGAAATAATACTCAACTATGAATACTTTTTCCTCCATTGAAACACCCATTTCCAACAACAACTGCACAACACAACTTCCTTTTCACTACTGGCAACATGTGCTATGCCACATGGACAAACACACGTGCATGTTTGATATGAGTAAGTTTCAGTACTGAATCTTTTGGCACAAACTGTATTTACAGGAACGGACTATTGGACCCAGGTTTGAGGGACCAGCAGTTCATGGCTTTATTCACCATATTCACAGCCTCTCTTAGAGTGGGTCAGTTTATTGAGGTATACTAGTTCTGACATCTTTTAACCACTTCAGTTATGTTAGGTGTTTTTTTACACCGCTGTTTGTTCAGTTGGTGACTATTACTTCTTTGCAGGAGGCACTGAATTTTTACTGTTCCTGATGCTGGCCTATTGTCCCAGAGCCATGATTTGAATCTGAAGGTCGCACTTGAGCAGGTTTTTCTCTGGGTTTTCTGTTTTCCCCTCCTAATCATTATTTCACAGTTGCCCAATATATACATACATCTATCACTGCCTCTATAGAGTTCCGTTATAACCCTGACCAGGCAGCACCTTTAGCTACTTAAGATAGGACATGATCAGATGTCCTTAGCCTGGACTGACAGACATCTTATATAATCGTATATTGTACACGTATATACATATACATTGTGTTATTACTCACTCATGGAGCTGAGCCCTTCCTGAGAAGCCACTCCAGAACTGCCCAATATTTTATGGAACCTGAAGGTTCATTACTGTGTTCAAAAGAGCCCTCCACTGGCCCCTATCCTGAACCAGATCAATCCAGGTCATACTATCCCATCCTATCTCTTTAAGATCCATTTTAATATTGTCCACCCACCAATGTCTTGGTCTTCCTAGTGGTCTCTTTCCTTCTGGCTTTCCCAACAATATTCTATATGCATTCATCTTCTCCCCATTCGTGCTACATGTCCTGCCCATCTCATCTTCATTGACTTGATCATTTTAATTATATCAGACCATCAAAGCATAAATGGCAGGTGTCAATGTCAGGGCAATGTAATACAGGTAAATTGGTAAAGTTGTCTCTGTGTTTAATTAAGCACCACGCAGTGAAAACACATGGTATGGTGGAGTGGAAGTGGAGGTTGCACAATTCTTGACCTTGGCAGTGGAGGTGAGTGATCGGCTTCACGCCTTGGCCACTTTACTGCTGGGGAAAATGTTCCCAGTATGCATTTTATGGGAGGCTATATGGGCCTCAGAGGTAGTGTGGATGCCGTGGAGAAGAGCCAAAATTTCTCGACTCTGCCGAGAATCGAGCTCCGTTTGTCCAGCTCATAGCCCGTCGGTATTCCGACTAAGCTATTGGGGATCATTATGTTCCGCGAAAAGATAGAACCCGCAAGATAGCCAAGCTCTACGAGCTCAAGTAAATTGACGGGACTGTACCGCGACCTCTGGGAATACGTGATGACGTCGGATCGTATCCGCTTATCGGTAGCAGTGGTCGCAGTTGAGGCTGTTGAGTCGTAGTAGTGAAGAAACGCAATTTGACAGGTGAGAAAGCGTCTGAAACAAACGTGAACAGAGTTACATTTAAGAAACTTAACAGTTGTTAAGCGGTAGAAATATGTGTGTCCTACGTCCATTTTTATGTTCTTGCCGTTGGAACTTTGGTAGACTCCAGTCCACACCTTTGGTTAAAAATTCGCTGTAAGAGTAACTATTATGTTCACTTCGTCTTAGTCTTGAAGGTCGTAGTTCGGCGACCAGATATTTGTTACTATTTGACAGCTACGGTCTTGTTTTTGTGAGGCGCCCTCTCTGACGAGAGGACGGGTCTGTCTTTTGTATATGCTGCTGGGCCTTACCAGCGCAGTGTTTCTCGGATCCGAGTGCCTTGTGACTCGCGACCATATTTTACGGTCTCAGATTTGAGACTTCCCTTTTCGTCACCTCCTACGACTCGCAGGGTCTAATGAAATTGCAGCGCCTAAAAACAAGGTTCTCCGCACCATTGGCAATTTTCCAAGGCACACACCGGTTTGCAATTTACACATAGCTTTCAAAATTCCGTACATGTATGATTATATAACAAAATTATGCAGGCAACAAGCGGAAGTCATACACCAGAGTCAAAGTCACATTGCGACTGACGGTCGGTCAGTAAGTCAGTCTTGGTGTCGACGCTAATCTGGGGCTCATGACCAGATATTTATTACTGTTTGACAGTTTAGGTGTTGTTATTGTGAGGTAGCGTAGTTGGTTGAGGCACTATGCTGCAAGCCGGAAGGTCGCGGGTTCGAGTCCCGATGAGGTCATCGGATTTTTTTTTTCAGTTTACCTAAACCTTTCAACCGCACTATTTCCCTGGGGTCGACTCAGCATCTAACAGAAATGAGTACCAGGAGTATTCTTGGAATATTATTGGTGGTAAAGGGCGGCCGCCGCGTAAGGCTGACAATCTTGCCAATCTTGACGGGTCTGTCTTTTGTATATGCTGCTGGTCCTTGCCAGCGCAGCCTTTCTCGGGTNTATGGACCTCCACGGCCTGTTACAAGGATACCTTTACTTGTTTACTTACTTTTTATTGTGGGGCGCCCTCTCTGGCGAGAGACACCAAGCTCAAGTCAAAGTCACATTGCGACTGACGGTCGGTCAGTCGGTCAGTAAGTCTTGGTGTCGAGCCCCATCTGGTGCTCATGACCAGATATTAATTATTACCGTTTGACAGTTACGGTCTTGTTTCTGTGGGGCGCCCTCTCTGACGAGAGGACGGGTCTGTCTTTTGTATATGCTGCTGGTCCTTGCCAGCGCAGCCTTTCTCGGGTCCCAATCCCTTGGAACTCGCGACCGTATTTTACTGTCTCACATTTGAGGCTTTCCTTTTCATCGCCTCATACGACTCGCAGTGTCAGGTGGGGGTATTCGACCCCTCCTTCACCCAGAACTCTGACACTGTGGAATCTCGTTATGCAGACGCGGCACGGACCACACAGGAATCACATTTCTATTGTAAGAACTGTTGTGTAACCTAGCAACTTGTCACAGACAACCTCGTTCCTACTTTTGCTCGGCGCGGACGACATAGAAAACACAGCATTTTCTATTGTTGCGTAATGTGCCGTGTTCACGGAACTGCTGCCTCGCAACGCGTTGATCAAATGCGTTACAATATTTTAACAGGGCGAATTAATAAAAGAGATGTCTGGACGAAATAATTTACAGGTATTGTATGAAGAAAAGAATGTGCTACAAAGTTCTAGAAGCTGTACGAATGTTTACATCTTGTGTGGAAACACGTTAATTACTTAATAAAATCATTCAGAGTACTCTGATTGATTTTAATACAGTTGTTTCCCACACATTTCTTAATATCATACCTTAAATGAATCAGGCTCGTGGTGTAAATTAACAGCGTTTTAATCATAAGATGTTACAAGGCGATAATTCCTATAAAAATATTCATAAAATTATATTGTGTTGATTGAGTAAAGAATTCTCTGTGTCACCAAGCTCAGAGTTAGAGTTACATTGCAACTAACGGTCAGTGAGTCAGTAAGTCTTGGTGTCGAGCCCCATTCGGGGCTCATGACCAGATATTAATTATTATCGTTTGACAGTTACGGTCTTGTTTCTGTGGGGCGCCTTCTCTGACGAGAGGACGGGTCTGTCTTTTGTATATGCTGCTGGCTCTTGCCAGCGCAGTCTTTCTCGGGTCCAAGTCCCTTGGGACTCGTGACCATATTTTACTGTCTCAGAACTGAGACTTGAAGAGAGAGAGAGAGAGAGAAAAAGAGAGAGACACACACACATACGGATCATCTTCAGAGGGAACATCAATACTTATTCGGAAACCATCATCACAATAGGTGTTCTGATTGCTAAATTACATACACACATAATGCCTGGAATACACAATGTACACAATATTGAACTTTTCACAATCACAGCAGCCTTCCTGGTATTAAAACTTTTAAAGTGTTTAAAAAATGTAGCTTACCTGGACTTAAATATATTTAATAGACACGGACAAATAGAAATGGAAATATACAGAAAACCCACAATGACAGACATAACAATAAATAATAAATCATGCCACCCTAAAGAACAAAAATTGCCAGCATATAAAAATTGGATACACAGACTTCTTACACTACCCCTTCAGGAAAATGCTAAAAACAAAGAATTAAATACTATTATTAATATAACACTAAATAATGGCCATAGAAAGGAAGACATCACACATCTATATAACAAACTTAAACGAAAGATGGGTAACCTGGATAATAAAGATGAAAAAGAACAAAATGGGTCACTTCTACTTATACAGGAAATTACATATGAAAAATCACAAAACTATTCAAAACACTAACATAAAGATAGCCTTCAAAACAGCCAACACAATAGGTAAACTGATAAATGAAAAACGAGAAATAAACCCCTACGAACAAAGTGGGATATAGGAAATATCATGCCAAAGTTGCCAAAAAGTATACATCGGCCAAACTGGTAGAAATCTAACAAGATACAAAGAACACATAAGAAACATAAGACTAAACAAGGTCCCTTCATCTGGCCTAACTTTTCTTATCTCACCAAGCTCTAAACCTCGTCTCGCTTATAACCCCTAGGCACGGATCACACAGAAAACACCGTTCTTCTGTCGCTGTACCATTGTTGCGTTCATGGTTGTTGCTGCAGGAGGGTGTTTCCTGAGCCGTTGCGTAGAAATGGTTCAGGTATATCTCACTGTATACGCTCACTGTAGGCACATAGAGGCAAGGACTGAGCCACATATTACATTTGGAAATTGGTTATGATCCTATCTCAATCAGAGATGCATGATGTTTCTTTCACACCTTCCAGTTATACAATTTATGAATTCTTCTGAAGTTGGTCTCTGTCTAGGATAAAGCCTAGCAGAATGAAGAATCTTGATGCTACACCCAGTACTGTAATGTAAAATCTGATAACTAGTAAATATTTAGAGCATTATCTTCAGGGACTAATGCTGTGTAGTCTGGCAAAGTACACAGATGTTTCTGAGGAAAGTGCTGCTTTCATTTTCGTGATTTAAGAGGAAGCCAAGCAATAAACCATCAAGAAGCAGGTGGCAGATGGCATTGCTTGAAGTTTCTTGGTGAGCTTACTTTTTGATCCTGAAAATGGAGAAAGTATGTTCTCTGAAATGCTGGTTGACTGTACTAGACTACATGATGTCCCAGAAGACGGTACACCCCTTAGACACTGTTGTGCAAACCTCATATTAAAAGAAAAGTAAAGTAAAGCTATCCCTGTACCAGGCCGTGAAGGGCCATAGGGTTGTGAGACGTTGAGGGTCCCACATTATCTAGACAATCGGCTCAAAGATGGCGGTAAGGTTGTCAGCCTTACACGCCAGCTGCGTTTTACTCCCCAGGAAAATTATTTATTTAATTCCTGGTACTCATTTCTGTTAGAGGCTGAGTGAACTTCAGGGCCATAGTGCGGCCGGAAGGATTAGGTAAATTGAAAAAAATGCAATGACCTCATCGGTATTTGAACCTGCGACCTTCTGTCTTGTAGCATAGTGCCTTAACCACTACATGACCTCATATATAACATGTAAACATTAACCTTTAAGAGGCTAATGTCACCATACGGCGTCATTTAAAGTACAGCCAAGTGGCCGTGCGTCATGTATGGGTACCCGCAATCCACGCGTGTGCATAGCATTTTAAAATCTTATTTTAAATAAAGGTTTTTAAAAACATCTTCATTGGTTTGACACTTTGAGGCCTCTGTTTAATTTGTTTTCAATACTGAATTGTGTCTCTTTGCAGAACTACAATGAGTGATGATGGTGGGGGTTGTGGAGGTGACAGTGGAGGTGGTGGAGGTGACAGCTGTGGTGGCGGGGATGTGAGCGGAAGTGGTGGATGTGACAGCACCTCCTACCATCATGACTCTGGTCACCATGATGTCAGTGGAAGTGGTGGATGCCATAGCACATCCTACCATCATGACTCTGGTCACCAGGGCACTGACCATGGCCACAGTTCAGCCAACGACAGTGATCAGAATGTCTTCAAAGATTATTCATTTGTTGGAGCTGGAATTGGTGCTTCAGACTGGCGTAATGATTATGATGCTGATGACAGCCACAGCAGCACAAGAAATAAAAAGTACATGAAGGGCAAAAGGAAGGAGAAAGACCATCATCAACAGGACTGCTGTGCCCTAATTTGAAGTTTCCATTCTGTAATTGTGATGAAACTGTCATTTATTGGTTTCAGTTTACATGTCTCATTAAGTGATCAAATGCCCAGCAGAAATACTGCTAATTTCTAATGCTCAGAGCTACCCTAGAAACCCTAGAAACACACATGTTTCTCATGTTCAATCACTAAATGGAAAAGTGTGGCATTATGTAGTGAAGAAATGTTAAAATTTACAAATTTGAACACAGCTTCAGCGTAGCTTTTCCAGATGTCAAAAAGACATACTGAAAGTTTTTAAGTTCACTTTATTGAGCTCAAGTTTCAGAATCTTGTGTTTTCTTTTTCAGTGATATTTCAAGTACAATAAAAAGTCATCTTGCCATCAAGGATCATTGAGAAGAACTAAGTAGCAACTCTGGATTGACCAGACTTTCTGCAGTTGTGTGAGAAGCTGATTAATAAAAAGAATTTGCCTAAAAATTCTGCAGTGTTTTTAAATTAGTATTGAATTTGCACACATCAAAGTGGAGTTTGTTAGAAGCATAGTATAGCAACAATGTGATATTGTATACCATAGAACTAGTTTGTTGAGAACCATAGAAAAGCTATGTGCTCACTGAACCATACTTAATATGGACTGAAGCAAGGTATGCTGAGGAGCCACAGTTCCATTCATGTACAGCATCACATTAGTACTGTTAACACTACATGCCACAGTTCCATTCATGTACAGCATCACATTAGTACTGTTAACACTACATGCCTTTAAGTTCATAATATTAGAACATTTAAAATTCTTCAGTTCCAGTAGAACTTTTATGAAAGTTATACACTTTTTTTTTAATTCTCTTAGTGGGGGGGGGGGGGGAGTCCAACTGGATCCACTCGGCACGGCGGCCACTGATTGGCCAATTGTAGCCTTCACTGGGTGATTATGATGATGGAGAATTTGGTGGAATGAAGATTGGCAGGGGAAAACGAAGTACTCAGAGAAAACCCGCCCTAGCGCCACTTTGTCCACCACAAATCTCACTTGACCAGACCCGGGATCGAACCTGGGCCGCCACAGTGGGAAGCTAGTGACTAACCACTTGAGCTATGGCGCGGCCAAGTTATACACTTTATAGTCTGTGATAATTTTATAAGACAATTTCATACAATATTTTTCAGTGGTTAAACATATGTAGTGGCTTCAAGGAACTGTATGAAGTGTGTAATTCAAACATTATGGTCTGAGATCCATAAGTTCATTAATTCTATTTGGAGTAAGGAGGAATTATCTTGTCAGTGGAAGGAGTCTAGTATTTTACCAGTTCACAAGAAGGGCAATCAAGCAAACTGTAGTAATTATTATGGCACATCATTGCGATCAACTTCATACAAAATTTTATCCAATATCCTCTCAAGATTAAGCCCATATACAAACAAAATTATTGGGGATCCATGAAGTTAATTACTGTGTAACTGTTGCATAGTTTTGCTGTTAGTAAATATTTTTGTTCACCTTAATCAAGTGCTACAAACTGGACTTGGCAATAAATCTGAGTTTGAAGAGACTAAGATTATATAAAAGGGCAATTTTATTTCACAAACTTGAAAATTTGAGGTAAGAAACTGATGATCATGAGCTTTTCTTAAGGAGAAGAACTTGTGGATAATAAAGCCTGCTGCATCTCTGAAATAATTTGGACTCTAGGTAAGTTAGAGGTGAAACTTTGAATCTGCTTGCAATATATATTTTTTTTCTGTTGGGTGTAAGACTCGCTGGCTTTCTTGTACTAGACGAGTGATTGACTCCAGGGTGTCAGGGACAACAGCCTTATACAATTGTACATTTTAGTGTGGCAGATTGTTACTAAAGAAGCCACTCTGTGTGTGTTTTAGCAGACTGGACTGAAATGGCGGTAATGATCTACCAAACTACACGGCATTACATGCAAGAAAAAAAAAAAAAAAAGGTAAACTTAATAAAACAACTCACTCTTCATAGCCACCGTAATTTCTCGTACTGAACAATTCCTTCGATAGTTACAGTCATTTACTAGTACCCATCATTAATTATCATGGAACACTAAGTAGCAACACATTGACCCATATGCCCAAGTAATTTTTTTTAATGCTAGTGGGATGGGACTAAGTCACTTTGTACTGCGGCCACTTCTGGCCTATTGTACCATCTCCAGATGATAGGTGATGGTGATTGTGGAGCAATTGGTGGAATGAAGATTGGCAAGGGAAACCGAAGTGCTCTGAGAAAACCTGCCCCAGCGCCACTGTGTCCACCACAAATCCCACTTGACCAGACCCGGGTTCGAACCCGGGCTGCCGCGGTGGGAAGCCAGCGACGCCAGCGACTAACCGCTTGAGCTATGGCGCGGCGCTTATATGCACGAATAAGTATAGCGTATTACAGGATGAAATTAGGGCTGTTACTCATGCTAATGTTTGACACAAGTATTACACATAGCCATTAGAATAAGCTACTGTGTTTCTCCGCCTTCTGCATTTCTCTCTGTCATGTTATAACACTGGGTCCTGTAGGAGTACGTGCATTTCTGTTCTATAGCTTTCTTTTTTGTGTTTCATTCCTCCAAGGAAACGTGGTCGATAAAGCGGCTGTGTATATTGCCGTAAACGTGGTATTTAGAGCGGTTATGTATATTTCCGTCAGCACCGGTCGGTACTGTTCATGCCAATAACTTTGAGTTGTCATCCCTGGCTAGTAGCGCTAGTGGCGATAGTAGGGTAGTATCGTGGTATCGTGTATCTGTAGGTAGCATCTGTAGATGGGGATCTAGAGATAGTAAAGCTGTCGTTTTTGACGTGAGTTTCCGCGTTCGTTAAATAAAGCCGTCAAATCAGAGAAACGCGAGTCGTGGTGCAGCATAATCGAAAGCATCGAAAATTCTGGTGTTGTATTAAGTGTGTTTGCTGCATTTCTTTATGCTCGTGCAAGACCGCTGTGTTCAGTTTTTGACGCCGCACAGTTTTCATTCATTCGAGGTTTAACTAAATTTTATCTACTTTACATATTTAGTTTCCCTTTTGAGAGCCCCATTCATATGTCAAATTCGTGGCTACGTTTACAAATTTCAGTTTTATGAAAAAAATTTAAAAAGTATGACATTAATCATGTGATCCATGAAGCAGAGTAAGAAAAATATGAATGTTTTAGGCTACTGTAAATGCCTCCAACATATGTAATTTATTTCCTGCTGCATTCCTGATTTCTGACTAAACAATATTCATTTAGTGCAGCATCATTCATTTGTAAGTGAAGAACGTGCCAGTGTTATCAGACTTTGGCCTGTACCTTCTTTTGCTGCGGAAGAGAGATAGTGTATGGGTCACAATGAAATTGCTATAATGATAAGTACTTTGCCTTATAGTCTTTTTTTTTCTTTTGGCCAAACAACCTGTTGTGATAGTTTGGGTACAATTACAGAAGTGGATGTTGATCCCCCACCCATACGTTATTCACAGGACTGAAAACTGATGATTTTCAGTTTTCTAAATGGATTATAATGAAAAACATGAAAGTTTTCAGCAGGGCTGTTTGGTGGTCAGTGATCTCAACACACAAAAATTGTCAGTATGGAAACACATAAATAACACTGTGCACAAAATTGGTTTCTTAATTTAATGTCTCTTAGATTCTTTGACTCATACACATGTCATTTTCATTTGTGAGGTGCTCACTTTGAATACTAACAGGGACACCCACTGTGCTGATCGAGGTTTGCCATGATTCTTCTTAGTGCCTTCATGCAAATTATAGGAAAATGCCTTGATTAGACAATGTAAATTTCTTTCCAAATGATTTTCAGTTCATCATTAATCAATCAGTTGAAGAAGGACTTACCTCTGCAGAGTTGTTATATTTTAGCATCCTGTTACACTGATTCGTGTCCATGGTTTATGCTAACCATCTTACAATGTATACACTTTTTCACCTTATTCTTCACTTCCACGCTACATGTTTCAGCACTAATGTGCCATCCTCAGGTGTTTGAGCAGTACAACGCATGCAGTAACAGGAGCAAAGCACAACACAGAACACGATACACAAATGTATGTAGGAAGAATGCTCACATAAAAGAGGATTGGCATAGTTCACATGTTTGAGTGCGACGTAGGATGAATCCTGAAAAATTTTATTATTTAGAATTCATCAACACATATGAGGAGTACAGATTTTAGTCATTTTAGAATGAAGACATCATGGCATGCAGTACAATAGTTTAACGTGAATAAAGACACCTGAGGATGGCACATTAGTGCTGAAACATGTAGCGTGGAAGTGAAGAATAAGGTGAAAAAGCGTATACACTGTAAGACGGTTAGCATAAACCATGGACACTGTAGAGTTATTTGAGGATATGTCCATATATTCAAAAGCCATTGTTTTCTGCCTTGAACATGTTCACAGTGGATGAAAATTAATGTACTGATATGTATGCTTTCAGCACAGGATGAATGTAATCAAACGTGAACCTGATTCAGGTAATGAGCTGTTCCCAGTGTATTCAGCAATAAGAACGAACTTGCTGCTGTGAAACATCAAGAGAACACTGTGAACTGGGAAACTCAGGTGAACTGTCTCTTCTATGTTTCATGTAGTAATTTTATAGGCAAGCTAGAATCACAGATTACCATAGACATCTGAATTGTGACTCTGTCATGTGAGTAGTTACGTGTGGTCAATAAAAATAACCACATGAACTGATGTTTCCATATCATTCATGTCAGTACACTATAATAAGTGTTACAGCACTAGTGTTTTATGGCCCACAGTCAGAAAGGCACCATCTTGGATCAGTGGTCTGAAAGTACTGAAACGAATGAAATCACGGTCTTTGTTTCAACTCTTTTTAACACCAGAGTCCTGTCTTAGAATTACCAGTGCCAGGGCTGTTGGGGATAAATGCAATTGCGCAGAAAAACCTACAGTACTTTCACATATTGCCCTCAAATGACCACAGGTATAAGTCATTTGAAAGCCTCTTTATATCTCAAATTGTTAATAGAAGCTTGGCCCCATGTATTATTGACAAAATTAACACAGAGCCAATCTAGTCAGGTCATGGCATGCAGCAGACTAATACAGAATTGGCCACCATCGTAGTTTGTTACTGCTGTAACACAGGTTATGCAACAGTTTAGGGGGCTGTTTTGTGGTGTAAGAATATGTTCTCTCAGATATGAAACCACGCGACTCCACATTCCAGAAGATAGCATTCTTCATAGTCAAACACTGAGAATCTCTAATCTTGACATATTTTTACTTTGTTTTACAGTCCCATTTGAACACAGGAAATGATGGATGATTCAGGCACCAACCCTGATCCAGTAACTGGAGTTTGTGATGAGAAGTCAGTTAATAGTAAAGGACTTCTTGATCCTGTTGCTTTTGTTGCAGTTAAGGCTGAAATAACAGTGAGTTACAGTTTCTTTTTCCCTCACCCTACTTCCATCCCCATCATTCATAATTGCTCTTTTCGTTACAAATATTTGTGTGCATACTGTTATCATCCTACACAGATGTGTATGTCTAATGTTAGTTTTCCTTAACAGAAAGCAAAAAACATCCCTTAATTTAAAGCTTAACTGATACATTGGGCAAATTGTAGTAAACGGTGTTTCATGGGAAATATTTCCAGAGTTAGTTGCTTGGAGTAACAGGAAACAAATACTTCTTACATATACTCGTAGATTAAGCCAAAATGGAATCTATATGTAAGTGTATTTCTTTCCATTTCTGTGATACACAAAAAGTGTATACACGTCAGGTTTTTGATTATTTTTTAGACCTACGATGTTTATTGGTTTTAGTTTTACAGGAACCAAATTCAGTGTATCAATGTAATGACTTCCTACTGGCTGGATGATTAGTGTTTGATTATAAGTGAGGTGAAGTGAGGTAGCTCAGTCAGTTCTTCTATTTCAGTTAAAAAGTGGAATGCTCTGACATATTTTAGTAAAACTCTCCAGTATAAAATTTCATGAAAATCCATTAAACAGTTGTCATGATGTTACATGTGGATAGATGGATAGGGACAGATGTGGTGAAAGTAATGAGCACATTTTTACAAGTTTCTCTTTTGAACATGGCAAAAATAGTGTTTGCATTTAAGGCAGCCGTTTTCTGTTATTTGTTTTGCATTGATATGTTGGATGATCTATTCCATTATTTTTTAACTCCTTCAGAATGGATACTATGTAAAATATATGTTGAAGTTAGTGCGTCATTAGACAACATATATAAATGTATAGGAGCACGCGGCAGCGTAGTTGGTTGAGGCACTATGCTACGAGCCAGAAGGTCTTGGGTTCAAGTCCCAGTGAGGTCACTGGATTTTTTTCAATTGACCTAATCCTTCCAGCCGCAATTTGGCCCAGGGGTTGACTCAGCCTCTAACAGAAATGAGTACCAGGAATATTCTTGGGGGTAAAGGGCGGCCGGCGTGTAAGGCTGACAACCTTGCTGCCATCTATGAGCCGATTGTCTAGAAAATGTGGGCACCTCAACATCTCACAACCCTATGGGCCTCCAGGGCCTGTTACAGGGATACCTTTGCTGTACTTTATATAAATGTATAGTTAAAAAATGTGACAGAACCATTACATTTCATTTGACTGCTTGAGAAGGAAGCATTGAGGAGGTTGGTGCACCAGTAAGTTTCTAGACTTGTATTCAGGAGGTGCTTGGTTTGAATCTGAGTTCAGACACTGGCTATCCTGACTGAGGTATTTTGTGGTTTTCCTCAGTTGTTGTAGGCAAGTGCCAGAATAGTACAGTCTTTATTCTTCAGTCATTCTGTCACTTACCACTATATAAACTGAGATACTGGCAGCACTGTGAAAGAAAACACACAAAGAAGCGAAAGGAAATGTGCTCATATTGCTTCTTTAACTACTACTTCCATTGGAACTGAGAGGGTCCAGACTGGTTGAAAAATCTGGTTTGAAATTCGTATAAATAAACAAATGGAACTGGTTCATTCATTGTTGCAGAAATACAAAGCAAATAAATTCTATTTATTTATTTATTTCATATCATATCCATGGATCATTGTACATGATATAGGACAAGTCAAATACTTTACAATACAATAAGTAATAATAATAATAGTAATAGTAATAATAATAATAATAATAATAATAATAATAATAATAATAATACAATATATAACACAATGATATAATAGTATACAAAGATAATAAAATTATGATTCGAATGATATATATCCTGGGTGGTTATGGTTATGGAGAGTTTGATGGAATGAAGATTGGCAGGGGAAACCGAAGTACTCGGAGAAAACCTGCCCCAGTGCCACTTTGTCCATCACAAATCCCACTGGACCAGACCGCCTCGGTGGGAAGCCAGCGACTAACCGCTTAAGCTGTGGCACGGCCTTAGAGATAATATTGTCTGGTATGTTGCTTCACTGTAGTTTATGGTCCTGGTCTCTGTAGTGCTGGTGAAGCTTCTTGAAGTCTGCATATCTCCAGAGTAGCCTGTTCCGGTAAATCTCCACTGTGTTAGCTTGGTTGCTGGAAAAGGGAAAAGAAAACTGCGCAGTAGCGATTCCAAAACCAATTATTCATTACTTATGTGATTATAATTGATTAGAGCTAGTGCTTGCCCCATACAAGAGAAACTCATCCACTTTGTAGAAGCAATGATTAAGTAGGTAAGTTTTCAAAGCACTTCTGAACTTGAATAGTACTGGTATCTCTTTAATATGTAGTGGTAAATGATTTAGCAGTCGAATTCCTACATTGTTAAAGTTGTTCTTGTATAGACTTGTATTACATGGGACGATGTGTAAGTCGTCTTTTTTCCTTGTATTGTATGAGTGTAATCCTGAGTTGGTTGTGAAATCATTTAAATTGGATTTTATGTATATTAAAATTTCGTATATATACAAAGATGGTAAAGGTAATATATGTAATGATTTGAAAATTTGTTTACAACTAGTTGGTTTCTAAATATTGAAGTTATTCAATGGTTTGTAACCATTGAATTATTTATTACTTTTATTTATTGAACCCATTTTTTACCAGCTTGAAACCAAAACAGTTTGTTAGAGAATTCAAGATGTATATTTATTTATTTATTTATTTATTTATTTATTCACTTCACATCCATGGATCATTATACATGACATAGGACAAATCAAAACACTCTATAATCCAATATAACGATACAATAAGACAATACAATGATACAATAATAGAATAATAAGAAGAACAATATAATTTTATGCTAATATAATAATTAAATGATGAGCACTATATTTATCAGTCACAACACATCAAATTTGAAAATAGATTAACAACATGTTTCGGCTATTTAGCCTATTTAACCTATTTAACCTATTCTTATAGGTTATAGGTTCTTATAGGTTCTTATTCTTATTCTGTTATTCTTATAGCATGGTTTGAGACCTAGTGACTTACAATCTGTATACCTGGAGTGAATGTGAGTATTTAAGCACATGCATGGTGTTTAAAATTGAGGAACTAACCAGTTATGATGACGAAGCAGCTGTTGGTTAATAATGTTACAAGAAATGTTAAAAATACAGATTGAAAATTATGTGGTTAGGTTTTACTCTTATGTTGAAGAACTCGGGGCATATAGAACCAGCATATGAGGGGTGGTGCGTATGATATCAGATTGAACAGAATGTAATTTTGTGTGGCAGTAACACAACACACTGTACGTTGAGTATAAGTGCCTTGTGCCTGGATTGCAGGACGAGCTGTGGGGTGTTAATGAACTCAAGCAAGAGATTAAGGCTGAAGTAACAACAGAGGAATACGGATTGTTGCCTCAGGGGTGAGTGTGGTGATAAATAATTCATTGTAGTAGTTCTTTTTAATAGTTGACTTTCCTAATTGAACCCACGTTATGACAGTGGAGCACTGCTTTCTTTATAATACACAGCTTTGATGTGCATTTTCCGCATTAAGGTCTTTTTTCAAGATATATGCTCAAATAATTTGCCCCTACCAACCATTGTGTTTTTGTTAAAAAACTCAAGGAGTATAATTGATCCCTGTTTTCTGGCTCTGTATAATTTCTATCATTCCTGTTGACCAGACTGTGTTATATGCTTTGGATGTATTGAATATGGCTGCTGTGTGTGCCCTGTTATTGAACTTGTCGGTCATATGTTTGGTGAGGCTTAGTAGTTGTAACATTGTGTCTCATCATGGTGAGAATGCAAATTATTTGTCAGTAATATGGCCTGATGGTACTGAATATGCTTGTTTATTGAGTGGTGTCCAAGCTAATTGGCCATCTGCCTTGTGGAAAGATGCAGTTCTTATTGGATGTTGGTACGGATATTATATTTGTGTCCTTCCACATGTTTGGAAAGTAATGTGACAACAACTCAGCATTTATGATTTTTGTCATGTGTGGGCATTAAATAGATGTTATCATGATCTGGAGCTTGGGGGGGGGGATAGATGCTTAATTCGTAACATCGGATCCAAACTGTCCCGTCTATATACCAACCTGTATCTTGTGAACAGAACTGAGAAGAAGGCAGTGGTGGGCTTGTGGGTGTAGTCATGAGTTCGCTTGGTTTGGCCTTGTCTCTGGATTGGTGTCTATCAGTATTGCTTGATCATGTAAGTTACTGGGTACCAGGACTGAATAAGTTTGGGATTTCTGTGCCTGTTAAACTTCCTGGGGTGCAGTGTGATCTTGATAGCCTCCTTTAGCAAGCAGTCCATGTATCCTGTTGCTTTATCTGGTTAGGAGGTGCTGCACAATTCAATACCATGCCGTGCTCTAAGTGTGCTGTCTCTGATGACTTCTCTGGCTGGCCGAAGTGTTATGTGTGTGTGTAACGTGTTCTGACATCTGGTCTTGATGGTTCTGCCCATGAGTCCAACCTACACCTTTTTCTGCACTCACATGGGATGCAATATATGCATGGAACTTTTCATCATATTTTGTCTTTTGTGTAGGTATAAGCATGTGGATATGTTTCTTCACACAAGTGTGAGTTCTCTTAATGTCGTATTTGGCAAGGAGCCTGATTATGTTTGAGACAGCATGTTGATATGATACCATTTGTGCCCAGGTTATCATTACTGCTATGGCTAGTGAGGAATGTTATGATAGCTCAGTTTTTCAGTGGAGCATGAGGTTTTGTTGAGGACTGAGTTGTTGTACGGCTCAATGAGATGTGGGGAAGTGAGGGAATAGCAGGCTATAGCTACAGTGCGTACAATCAAGTGCGCGCCGCGGCTGCAATTTGCCGTGAGTCATACNGATTTTTTTTAATAGTTAGGAAGATTATTTTGGCACGCTTGGAGATGGGACCTACTGAAATATCACTCACACAATGCAGATGTTGTTATATCATATTTTTGCATGTGTAAGCCACATAATTGCAAGAAAAATTTACTCTAAAAAATTGGGGTGTGACTTATATATGAAATGTTATGTAATTCTTTTAGAGAAACTTGTTCCTCAGAATAAAGAATGTTTTTCTATAGAGGACTGAGCCCATGACCCTGGTGTTGAAGTTGTGCCTCAGTAAACACCATTAGTGTGTGAGAAAAATGGAAAATGTTGATATGAACTTACCAAGAATTAATGCCCTGCTGTTGTTAAGTCATTGGTAACACGTCTCTACAAAATTAGTTGTAAAAACATAGCAGTGGTATTGTAATTAACTGTTTTTAATGAAGGTACCTTAGATCGCTATCTGGTCTTTAGTTGTACTGTGTTAACAGCTTTCTTTATCAGAGTGACGCCACAGTAAATTGTTGTCACTCTTGTCCATTTATATTTATTTCATTATAGTAGAATTTTTATGATGACACTTGCCTTTTTACTTGCTACTGATAAAGCTGCCATCAAATTTTAGTTGCAGTTTAAAAGTGTTCATGAAGTATTACTCAGTTCTTATGTAGTCAGATCAGCATGATCCAGCTGTCACATGGTCAGAGCTGACCTCTACAATTTCTGCTGTGTGAATTTTCTATTTTATATGAGTATTGTGCTTACTGCTGACAAGCCATGGTCATATTTTACTGTGGCATGAAGTGTCAGAAAACGTTACTTTCTTTTGGCAGTCCAATGATTTTCATTTTCCTACCACATAAATTGTATTCCATGATGCATTTTTAGTGACTTTGGTCAGTTGTCAAGATTCTTATCTGACACGCTATTGCACAGATGAAAAGATTCCAACATATTACTGCTATAGTGGCATATTTTGATTGCACGAGAGTAGCCAACACAGTTGATTCCTGGAAATCAGAAGAATGTGACATCACTGAAAAATTACTGTAAAGGCTGATGATTACAAAGAAGTATCACAAGCGCAGTTAAAAAGTTTTATTTTCACACAAGTGAAATCTGTTGCAGCTTACATATGAGGTATTATTTATTCAAAATTCTTAACCTGAAACTCTAAGTGCAGCCTACTATGCATGTGCAATTATGGCCTTACATAGTGCTTATTAATTTGAATATTTTATATGTTTAAGTATATGGTGCATAAATTGTCATGTTAAATGTTATTATGTATTAGTGACTGATTGCATGCACTTCTTTAAAGTTGGCATTGTATGCCATTAGTTATAACTTGTGATGAGCAGTTCGTTTTTAAATACAGTAGAACTTGGTTATAACGTCATCAAAGGGACCTGAAAATAGTGTCGTTATAAAGGAATGTCGTTGTAACCGAAATGGGCACTTCCACAGTATCCTTATGTTAGTCACGTAAAAATCTACCAAAAACCGAGTTAAAATGTTGCATTTTTTAGTGAAATACATAGTTAAGTACAGACTAACGTACTAACGTGCTAACGTGGAATTGCCCAAATGTGTAATATCAAATACATATTACAGTGCTTTTCACTGACAATACACACAATATTTCATGAATCACTTTAACTTTCTCTTCAGTGCTTAAAACTTTCCTTTTCATTGCCATGTTTTCGCTACTGCACTTCTCTGGGTTTAGGCAGGAACACTATAGGGTAAGTAGACAATGTGAGGTCCTGTTAGACGAGATTCTAGGAAAGGAATGCAGTTAACAACCTGCCGCGTCCTCTTGCACTATTCACGCAGTCCCACCCCAAACCCTTGTTTTCGCATAAAACCCACGCTCCTCTTGCAGCCCGCGGTCGTATTCTTCCAGGACAGTCACGTCAACAAGTAGAGAAAGTGAGGGTGGGCAGACACATCGAACTTTCCCACGATATCAGAGAAATTCAGGAATGAAAATGACGTTACATACGAGGTTGATGCATTTGTGCATGTCGTACTAAGCAAGGTATAAAAACAGTTGCTTTATGAGGAATTAGTTCGTACCATTGAATATTTGACGCAATAGACAAGGTGTCGCAGAAACCGATGTTGCTATAACCAAGTTTTACTGTAATTGAAATGATGTGACATCATGCTAAGTAGTTATGTAGGTGAGCAATCTTGACACCCTAGTACTGTTGTATCAAGTTTACAAACCTCCTTTCTTGCTGTTCAGTTCATGAAAAGTCAGACTTGAATATGTTGTTGTGATGACCTCCTCTGCAGAGTTGTTACCACTGGGAGAGGAAACCAGTGAATGTATTTTTTTTTTTTTTAAGTTTCTGGGGGTGGGCTAAGACTGTGTTGACTTGGTACATCACCCGCTATTTGGCCTATTGTACCATCTCCGGATGATAGGTGATGATTAAAGTGGAATGAGAATTGGCAGGGGAAACCGAGGTACTCAGAGAAAACCTGCCCCACTGTGACTTTGTCCACCACAAATCCCACATGACCTAACCCAGGCTCAAACTTCAGCCACCAAGGTGGGAAGCCTGAGCTATGGCACGACCTCCATGTATGTTTTACTGCAAGTTTTCCCACTGGTCTCCAAAATAAGTTTCAGTCTGTGTTTCAAAGGTTGAGAGTAATGTTATTGTTGCACCCTTCAGTTATGGGAGTAGAACTTGCCCACCTGTGATTTAAAGATATTTTAAGTTGTCACTGCATTTTCCTTATTTTCACCACTCAGCGTCCTGATCAAGATACCTCAGAGCCCAAGGTATTTGAAAACTGTCACAGTGTTAAATGAGCTAGAGATTTATGCCCCTTCTTCACCCTTTTGAGGATGGCTCCTTGGACAGATGTACAACTTGTTCAACTAGGAACGCGTCACAGAGGTCCTAAGGCCACCAATTGCTCCACAATCACCTTCGTCTATCATCTGGAGCTGGTACAATAGGCCAGAAGTGGCCGCAGTAAAAGGGACTTAGTCCCACCCCTCTAGCAATAAAAAAAAAAGACTACCATTATTACTCAGATTATCCTGGACTCAAACCCAAGTCTGACTGGTTACAATATGCATATACCCTTTCATTGACCTAAATATCAGTATTATCTTTCGTCACAGCTTTCACATTTCCACTTACGTTGCTAACATGGCCGCGCCATAGCTCAAGTGGGATTTCTGGTAAACAAATTGGTGCTGGGGTGGGTTTTCTCCAAGTACTTCAGTTTCCAGTGCCAATCTTCATTCCATCAAATTCTCCATCATCATAATCACCTGGGGCATGCTACAATAGGCCAATCAGTGGCTGCCATGCCGAGTGAACCCAGTTGGACTCCACCCCCCACTAAGCAAATTACATTGCTAATATCATGTAGCTTTCGTTACAGTTAGGTGCAGACGCAGGCAGACTGTGCCGTCCATGGCTGTGGGTCAGATGCTGAGATGCTTGTGAAGTTATATCACAGGAAAATATATAGAGAAATTTCATTATGATTTATTTCTGGGAGCTCAATTTTACTTAAGGGAGATGAATGTCATATTCACAAATACA